CCCGTGGGCTGCTGCTGCGTTTCCTGCGGAGCATGGAGGAGAGCCTTCGCTCCCGCCTGGGGTCAGGACCCTCGCTCGGGCCTGGCCGCCGCCCCCACTAGCTCCGCACCCGCCTCTGATTTCCCTGGCAACACTCACGCATCTTCTCCCTCCCTGGTTGGAAACTCCCGCAGCTCTCTTTGCTTACCGATCTGAGTACAAATTCGCCATATGCTCTCAGGTCCCTCCATAGAGCCCAGCGCGCGTCCTGCTAGGCCTGAGTTCCAGCTCCAGATCCTCCACTGAACAGTGAGTAGTAGGTGGGGTCCTGCAAAAGGCCTATGCTAGTCAGAGTCTCCACTGTAAAATGAGTGGCCCAAGCCCACTAAGCCTCTTGCATCTCTAAAATAAAACAGGCAGCCTGGAGCGTTGGCTTCTAGGTGTCCTCCCACCCCTTCCCGACCTCTTCATCTTGGAGTGTGTTTGCAGTTGCAGGTCAGAGATTCCTGGTGCATACAGAGCCAGGGGGATCTGGTGGATGCTTCTGAGCAGGAGCAGATCCCAGAGGCCAGATCATGGCCAGGCACAGACATGACTAGGGCAATCTGGAACCCCCCAAAGACAGGGATCCAGCGTAAAATGGCAGTTGGATGACTCTAAGGCTCTCTCCAGCCGGGGCAGTGATTCTGCAGCCCTACTTGGTGAGCAGAAAGGCTTTATTCCCCTCCACCAGCCCAGGGCCCAGCCCCTTTGCCTGCTCGCCACCTCCTGGCCAGACCGGAGCCATGTCTCACTGGCTGTGACTCATGCTCCCACTCCCCATTCCTCCCTCATCAAAATTCACCTGTCCCATGTTCCATTATCTCATCGCTGTGCTCCCTGCTAATGTGAAAACGGCTGATAAATTGGTGTTGGCGGATTAATGTGTTACTCCAGCGAGGTAACAAATTTGCATTGAACAAGGACATGCCGCCTGTGCCTTTGTGCACAAGTGACGAATGGTGGCAGGAAATTTGGGCATCCCAGCAGGCCGGCCAGGAGTGGGGGCCTCTGCCAGACCTCTAAATCATACCTCGTGCCCAGCGCCTGCACCTGCCACAAATTGGGCAGTAATCTAATCCCCGGATGTAAAGGCCAAGTCACATGGATGCTAAGGAGTGAAAGCCCACACACAAGCTCAGGGGCGCATTTACACCTGACTGGCGTTTTAAGCCAAAGGAGAGGCCTCCTCCTGAGTGGAGGAGCTGGGGTGCCCCAGGAAGGCACCGCCACGCTGGGTGTGCATCTCCTACTCTCAGCAGGAGCCAGGGAGTCCACCCCCTCTCTCTGGGCTTCTCTCTCTTGGAACTAGACTTCCAGGTGGAGGATTGGAATCTCTCTGCCATTTGGGGCAGGCCTGGGCCAGGCAGGGGTGCACAGTGGGGACAAGAAGGGTATCCTGTGAGCCAGAGGTCCAGCTGCCTGTTCCTTTTGGAGGTCGCCCATCCATTGCACTGCCATGACAGAATACCTGGGCCTGGGGGCTCGACCGAGAGAAGAGATTGGTTTGGCTCCTGATTCTGGTGGTTGGAAAGTCCGAACACAAGGGGCTGGCAGAGGGAAAGCGGGTGTATGCAGAGACACACGCCCGCCTGCTTGCTTTCCCGACCATCTGCTGGGCCGGCCCCATAGCTCAGCAGTTAAGTGCGGTGTCACATCCCACATGGCTGACCGGGGTTCGAATCCTGGACTGATGACAACATGCTAGGAACGTCCACATGCCCAGGGTTCTGACCGGGTGGCGACTTGGAGGAAGGATTGCAGAGTGACCAGGCCCCACTGCAGGGGCTGCCAGCTCAGTTCTGTCACTGTCATGGGACTGCTCGTATGTCTGCCCGGAGGGCTGTGATGGGGTGGTGACGAGCATGCCTGTGCCCGCAGCCCTGGCACCTGGGAGCCCCCAGAGCAAGGCAACGAGCGTGGCCGGCACTGCCTGCCATGGCCGATGCCGTCAGCCCCCTGCCCGGCTCCTCACAGCTGCCTCCGCGTGGAAAAAGTCAGATTACTCAGAAACCTGCACCCCTGCCCAGCTGTGGGGATGTGTGAGAACTCGCAGGTGCCAGACAGAGGTGCCAGTGTCAGCCCCACAGTCGCAGCCACCCTGCCCTCAGGCGAGGCAGTCTGGGATGTCCCACACCTGCTCCCAAAGTCCCAATGAGACGGAGCTCTGTGTCCCAGGTGGGAGCCAGGAGTGATGTCCCCATGGGACCCCTCACCCGTCAGTAGTCCCGGGTCGCTTCCTGAGCCAACTTCTTGCACTTGAATCTGAGTCTCAGAATGTACTTGCGGGAGCCCAGACACGGCCCTGCCCTGTGAACCCGAGGGGCTAAGGCCCTGCTCGCAGCAGAACCCCCTGCGGAACTGTGCCGCGTCCTTACTGTGGTCCAGTGGGACCTGTCTGCATGCCCACAGGTCGTGCCCACCTAACCAGCCAGGGTGGAGAACTACCATTCTAAACAAATCCCCATTGTCTTCCGAGGAGGGTGGGGAGTCTCCCTGTGTGAGCCATGGAGAACTGGGGAGCAGGAGTGGAGGGCACCCAGCCAGGTCACCCCAGATCCCAAGTCCCTGTCCTGCTTCTCTCTAGGACAAATTAGACAGTGAAGGAGGCAAGGCACCCACAGGGCATCAGCCTACCCAGGAGCTGGCACAAGGCTTCCCAGGGCATCGGCCTAGCTACTGCAGAGGGCAGGCTACCCATACTGGGCACAGGGTGCCCATGGGGCTTCGGCCTCCCCAAGTGCTGGGATTGCAGAGCCCACATGGCCACACCCTAACCACTAGCAGAAAGGGGGGAGGGGGGAACATCCATCCAAGCTGCATCAGCCTAGCCATGTACAGGAGGCTGGGCTCCCACCGGATATTGGCCTAATCACGCACGAGGTGGGGCGGTCATGAAGTCCTCATCCTCGCCAGGTGCAGGGGCAGATGCCCAGCAGACTCAGCCTTGCCTCGTGCAAGAAGCAGGGCCTCAGGCGAATCAGCCCAGCCACGTGCAGGGGGCAGTGCCACGTGCGGGAGGCGGGGCCTCAGGCAATCAGCCCAGCCACGTGTGAGGGGGGGCAGTGCCACGTGCAGGAGGCGGGGCCTCAGGCACTCAGCCCAGTCACGTGCAGGGGCAGTGCCACGTGCGGGAGGCAGGGCCTCCGGCGAATCAGCCCAGTCACGTGCAGGGGGCAGTGCCACGTGTGGGAGGCGGAGCCTCAGGCGAATGAGGCCAGTCCCTTGCAGGGGGCAGTGCCACCTGCGGGAGGCAGGGCTTCAGGAGAAT